AAAAAAAAAAAAAAAAAAAAAATTTTGCACATATATATGCAGCTGCGAAAAGAAGCAGGATAAAATAGGTTCTTTTCCCAAAAAGGTTATAATCTTCGTAGCAACTCGATGTTTGAAAATTAAACAGCAGATTCTTGAAAACCTTGTTGTTTAGGGAGATTGTGCAAAAGTGCAGTTAATTTTCAACATCTACATGTGAGATTTGCACAGACTATTTATCGTAATGCGCGGTTGGATTAATTATTTCTTAGAGTTCGTTGGCGAACAGTAGTTTTTACTTTTTTACCGCACTAAGGAACATTTGAGAAGCATTTTGGAACATCTAAACATAGTTATTTTGCAGACGAAAAACCAAGGAAAAGAAAACTGTTGCATGAAATTTTTTGATATGTCCGTGCAATCTGTGTGGAATTATATCAAAAATATAAAATTGTCAGTTACGCGTTTCAAGCAGATTCTGGTGATTTGTCCGCGAAAAAATCAGTTCAGGAAACTTTAGAAATATGGGCAAGTCTAAACAGCTGTGACTGTATGCAAATAACGCTAAAGATTCAATTTTACATAACTTAATTATAGCAGCAGTTTTTCTTGATGTTATCTGTAAATAAATGTTAGTAAGAGAAACGTAAGGTGCAAGCCGTATTTGATCAAAAAAAAATCAGGTGACAGCAAAACAAAACGCAAATAAAACAACAAATGATCATGATTTTGCTGTTTTAAAGTTATAAGTGGCGAGTTAGCAATAAACAGATAATATCAAAGCAAATCTGTCATTAAACAAATAACAAACAATACTGAATTAATGCATAACTGCACCATTTTATAATTCAAAAATTTAAACCACAAAGACTATTAAATTTACGAACTATTATCGCTGTTAAGTAATACTGGACTTGCAGTTTTGATTATTTAGTAACAAAAGTAATTCATTAGAAACTTGTGGCTCGCAATTTTACTCACGAAAATAGATAAAACTAAATTGACAGTAGAATTTGTAGCTTTTTTGCACATTGGTATTAGAAACGATTCTGCTTGAAAAACCGAGTTTTTTTTAAAATACAGAATGTTTTAAAATTTTGTATTTTAAAAGTCAAAAGGAAAACCAAAAAAAAGTTTTTAAAGCAATATATGCTAAAGTGTTTGACGAGACAAGCAAGCATATGAAATGTTAGAATAATTGAAAAGTTTCTGGGTATATATACATTTTCTTCAGTGGTTTTATGAACATTTTGAGTAAACATTGTCTGTATGATAGATTTACGATACAGGTGCACAAAAGAAAAATTTGATTTAAGTATAATTTATTAGATTTTGAATTAGCGTATAATCAAAAGCAACAAAGGTTTGTATTCCATTAGCATTTTCAAAAAAGAAATATCCTAAAAATCACTGGAAATGGCACTGATACCTTTGTGACAATGAGGTTAGTGATGTTGACAAACAATGATGAACGCTTAACCAACATATCAGAGCGTCTCAAATGATTTTCTAAATCGTCATCAATATACCATCTAACCAGTAGACAGAGGTAGCTATAAAAATCAATTTTTTTTTTAATTTTTCAGCTATAAAATCTTGGTTTTAAAGCAATTGCGTTAAAATGGTATGTGCTTAAAAAAGTGATAAAGAAGGCAAAGAAATATTTGAAAGAGAAGTAAGCAGGCAGCAATTAAACTATGTGTCGAAGCAACATGAAACTTGAAAGAAATTTATTAATTTTTCAGTAAGAATTTTCAAGGAAACAAACAGAAGTTTACAGTAACCTTATCCTAACTTATTAATTTACACTGAGATAATCTATAAGCAAAAAAAGTTAATTCAGTACTCGGATTATCTTCTTCAGAGCTACACGCTTTTATTTTTTCCTAACAGCAACGGTATTTTCAAAAAATTTAATCTAAATCTACTGTTACTGATTCAGCAGGTCGAATAAAATCTTAGCGATTTTTGAAAGTGTTAAACATCGTAATTCTTTCATAAAAAATAAAATAAAATAGTCAAAGGTTTAAAACATTTTTTTAGCTTATTTCTAGACATAAATTTTGAGTAAAATTTCTGCTTTTCTTCTGTGAGTAACAAATTTGACGTACTAATGGAAAAACCTTTTGGAGATAAATAATGAAACAACGATGACAGTGTACCTCAACTGCTTCATTCTTGAAACTATCAGATAGACTGGTTTACGAATTCAAACCTTCTTTTTTTGGTATCTTATTTACATCAAAAACTTCTGGTTTTTTAACTTTATTTTTATTTATTTGATCTAGATATAGGAATAATCTGACTAGTCTATGGTGAATCTTTCGTGGCACTACCTCTTTATTCCTACAGAGTTAGGCAGAGCGAAAAAGCTTATAACATACACAAATATCAGAGACGCTTGTTTCCCTTCTTGATTTTCTGTTCGTAAACTTACTGTTGGTCAGACATAGCAGAAGACAGACTTTTGCGACAGATTCCGTCAAATTTCAAATTTTAGGTCAAGTTTAGCTGGAAATGAAAATTATTAGTGAATTACGGCAAATCTAGAAGAATTCTTGTGCTACTTCTATTATCTTCAAATATCTATTTTTTACATATTTTTGTAGGGCTACCTTTCTTTTACTCATGTTTTATTCTCAATTTTCTGACGTCGTTTTTTCTATTGTATAATTTAAGATTTAGTGTTTGAATTCGGTTTTGGTTTTTCGCTATCAGCTAATTTATAGCAGTTTGTTGATAAGATTTTGTCGCTTCCTTATATTGCCGCAAACAGCCAAACAAATCGTTTAACTTTGAGATTTAATAAACTTTTTTCAAATGATTTCACAAATTTTCTCTCTTGCTTATCAATAAAGACTGTCGTCTACAGCGCTTTATAAAGTCAGAATACTAAAATTGACCTATTCAATACGTTTTGAACTGTTTGACTAAACTCGATTTATGCATGCTAGAACGTGATAGAAAATAGTTCAAATGCTTCTATGCTCCCTATTACAAATGCTGCTTACCTTTTCAGGTGAAAAAGGTTTAAATTGGTTTTTTCCGAGTAAAAAAAAGTTCTAAACTTTTATTACTCTATTTTGGTCATAACGATATTTGCTCAAGAGATGCAACTTTATTAAGCGTGTGCCGTATTTTGTAAATGTTGTTCTTTGAAGGCCGTCTACAAGCAACTGTTTGTTACGCGTGGTTGTGGAGTTAAATTTTTTACAATTTACAGACCTATAAAGTCGAGCAATAAAGTTTTTAATATTCATTTTATTACTTATAACATATCCAAAATTTTCCCTTTTAAACGATCAAAATATATTGAAAGCTTTGTGAAAAATTTGTGATTATACACTAGCTAAGCTGTGCACTCGTCTAGAACTTGGTTCTTAATGTGCGTTTATCAAGTTTTTCTTGAACTTTTGCTCTTTTGCTAAGGCTTTACTAACAGCAAAAAGGGTTTGACTTTTATATTATTCACAATGGGCAATTAGGACGAGAACCTGAAAAAATGCCTACTAGTATCCCTTTGCCTCTCAATAAGAACATTGAATCGATTCTTTCACTTTATTGTTTTTTTTTCAGTGTAACGTTCAGTTTGATGATTACCTCCTTCTTACTACTTTTTCTCATCGAGTTTCTAACCAGCATTGAGTTTAAAATTTGCGGGGTTCTTTAATAATTTTGATTTGAGTAGATTTCTGAATAATAATGATTCTGGACTTGTTTTGAAAATGCAGTTTCTTCATCAACCTCTCTACAAAGTATTTCACCAAAATTATTTTTTAATTGTACAAGCTTAGTTGAGTAATTGTATTTTTAGTCATTTTTACTACTTTATCTGTTTTTGTACTTTGAGAAGCGTC